CTCAGGGTGAAGGTCACTTTGGCTGCCATGTGGAGACCCAGCAAATGAGGGACCTGAAAACCAGTTGGTGGAGAGATTGTGCAGGTCAGGTGGTGCTGAGACAGGTAGTAAGCCCGGACAAGTGGAATAGGGAAACTGAGACAGATACTTAACCAGCCCACCAGTTTACAGCCACCTAGTAAATCCCAAAATCCTATCTCCCCTAAGCAAGGACACTTAAGAGTAGATGGCTTCCCCTTTCCTCCCAACCAGAGGGTAAATAGCTTAAACCACCCTATTCAGAGGGACAGAGCAGAAACCCAATTAGTGCCACTTGCCAACCACACCCATGGACGGACAAAGTCAGGGGAATCAATCTCATTTTGGCTCATCAGCTTAAAGCTGGTGAATATTCTACTGAGATCCTCCCCTCAATGCCCTAAATGCCCAGCCTTGATTTTTTTTATTATTTTTATTTTTTAAAATGTATTTTTATTGATTTCAGAGAGAAAGGTAGAGAAAGATAGAAACATCAATTATGAGAATCATTGATGGGCTTCCTCCTGCACTCCCCCTAATGGGGATCGAGCCTGCAACCCCGGCATGTGCCCTTGACTGGAATCGAACTGGGGACCCTTCAGTCCGCAGGCCAGCACTCTATCCACTGAGCCAAACCAGCTAGGGCAATGCCAGCCTCCATAGAAAGACCCAGCAGGGCCTCTCTCTTTCCCTCCCTCCCTTCCCCTCAGGCTGTTACCTCTGCCTTTCTCCCTCCTAAGCTCCAAGGGCCCTTCTACTACCTCTGCAACTTTCTAAATAAACTCTCTTAGAATTTGCCGAACTCTAGAACCGAGGTCCAACGTCGCTGCCAACACCGCCAGCAACAGCAGAGGAGGAGGGGCCGACTTCGGACACTACAGGATGGCCTCGGCCCGGCGACTAACCACACGGGGAAAGCATGAGCGTGGGGTTGAGGAAAGATCTGGAACGTGCTTTAGGGCATGCTGGATTTGACATGCCTATTACACGTAGATGTCGGGCAGCAGTCCGGGGACTGGGTGCTCCCGTGCTGGGACTGCTCCAGTGGCCTGGCCATGTGGGATGGAGCAGAGGGTCCCACCTCACGCCACTGTCCCCAGGGCTCTCAGGAGGCCTGGGAGAGTCAAGCCCTTGGATGGCAGTGTCCTCACTGCCTCAGGCAGCAGCCGCACTGGAAGGGGCTCTCTGGGGATTTGCCAGCCTGAGGCCTTGAAAGCTAGCTCTCCCTCATGCTGCAGGTGTGGCCTGACCGCCCCCCCGCCACACACACACACACACACACACCTACACACACACACACACACACTCACACATACCACTGTCCCCAGGGCTCTCAGGAGGCCTGGGAGAGTCAAGTTCAAGTCCTTCAGTGCCCCCCTGCCTGAGGCAGCAGCCGCACTGGAAGGGGCTCTCGGGATTTGCCAGCCTGAGGCCTTGAAAGCTAGCTCTCCCTCATGCTGCAGTTGTGGCCTGACCGCCCCCCCCACACACACACACACCTACACACACACACACCCACACACACACACACACACACTCACACACACACACCTACATACACCTACACACACACACACACACACTCACACACACACACACACACTCTCTCTCTCTCTCTCTCTCTCACACACACACACACACACACACACTTGCTCAGACAGCCCCACCTGGGCGGGCAGGTGGGCTGAGGTCGGAGTGGAGGAGCCGGGCCTTCCTGCCTTGGTGGTGCCATGGTCAGGCTGTGCCCTGTCCGGTCACTGGCAAGCAGGTGCCTTGCCCCAGTGCCTGCCTCCCAGGCAGCCACGTGCCCTCCCCGTCCCGGGGCAAGGCTCCCTTGGCCCTCAGGGCTGACCTTGCAATGATGCCACTGTCCCTCGCCCCAGCCTGCTCTCTGACCCAATGGGCTGAGCTCTGAGCCATTCTGGCCTCAGCTTCTCTTCTGTGCAGAGCAAACCATAGTCGAGATTATTTTCCTGCCATGAGAGGGCCCAGGCTGCTGCCCTTCTAGGAGGTCACAAACAGAACGAACTCCCTCCCAAAGCACAGCAACTGAGCCTCCTGGCCAGACACCTGGAGGCGCCTTAGAATCCTCTGGAAACCCTTTGCCAGGAGGGCAGAGCTCAAGGCAGTCCCAGCACATGGCAGGATGGGAAGCCCCCAGCCCACGGAGGCTTCCCTCCAGGATGGGGGCCCGGACTCACAGAACATGTTACATGCACACCCTCGGGCCCTGCCACCTCCCGGGGTTCCGATGCCGGTTAGGCCG